GTTAGCATTAGCTAGCATTGTTAAGATTATTAAACGGACAATTCATATTTTCGAGCAGCCTGGCTTCTTTGTAGCCGCTGGTTCGTTTTCAGGCTGCAAGCAATACGTAGCGGTAGCATTAGCATCACTGCTACTGCTAGCTGCCTGGCTACTGTACAAAGAAATAAAGTACCGTAAGAATCCCAATTTAAACTCAAAACATAGATCTTAGTTCTATGACAAAGAGAGGTTCAATTCAATTCAATTCATTTTGTATAGCCCAAAATCACAAATTTGCCTCAGAGGGCTTTACAATCTGTACACATACGACATCCTCTGTCCCAGGACCCTCACTTCAGAACAGGAAGAACTCCCCCAAAAACCCTTTAACGGGGAGAAAAGAGGAAGAGACCTTATGGAGAGCAACAGAGGAGGGATCCCTCTATCAGGATGGACAGAAGTGCAATAGATGTCATGTGTACAGAATGAACAACATAACAGAGTTATAACACATTCAAAGGTGAAAAAACAAAATAAATATATTTATTTATCAGAGATCGTCCCTTAGGCGGACAGAATTACATAATGAAAGCGAGGCTTACAAGGAACCAATCTAAACGCATATTTTATAGCCACCACATTGCGCAATCAACATTTCACGTCACAATGGTAAAAGCTAAAGACATATCCACTGTCACTCTAATGTCACTACAATGTTAAAAGCTGTTCAGTTGTGATTAATTAAAGCTATTTAGATGACAGTTTTCATTCAAGTCTACAATAATGGATGATGTTTTTGTTGAATTTAATCATTGATCACAGATATAATATCAACACTATCACCATAACTGTAAAATGCAATCAGATGACATGAGGTCATCTGATGAATATGATGTGAGAAATTGCTGATTGGTCCGGGCTGGAGCAGATCGTCCTCTATCAGCATTGGCTTATTGGGTTGATGACTCTTGATTGAAAGAGATGACATTTTCCAGGAGATATTTGCGCACCAATTTGTGTTTTATGTGATCCTCTATCCACGCTTTGCTCACTTCCATTACCTTCAGCCACACTTGACGCAGCCACTCTTTATCGCCCATCAGTCAGACCAGCTGATGGGAGATGCCGAAGCTCAGCAAAAAGGTGTCGCTTCCAAGAGTGATCACTGTGAGTGATGAGCAGGATAGATCCCGGAGCGTCATGACACAACCCCAGTAATGTGTTTCGGTGGGAAAACATACTGTGAACACATCATGCAGAGGACCAGCCATCCGTGGCCTTCTCTTGGCTTTAGTGGGATTTATAGTTTGGCAAGCGCGTGTGTTTGATGATGCGTCCGTTGCCCTTCAGGTGTTGGACCTGGTTGTCGGTTTTATCATTTCATCTTCAGCAGCATCAATAAATTAGTTTATTGTGTTCGACAGCACAGGAAGTTCATCTTTTGGTCTCTGCCCTGTGCCTCCCCCCACCATCACACTGTGCCCCCTCAGTAGCTGGGCCCTGACGTCACTGGATTGTCAATGCAACACTCCTTTCGAAGATTGGGGTGGAAATAATTGTATTTTCTCACACTGTGTTTTAGCCATACACACAGCCACACACAAAGAGCTGTATCCATGTTCAACGAGGGTCCAGTTAGCTTCCCCACTCCAGTTATGTGCTGTTAGTTGGCTGTTGCATCGCTGTTATCTGTCGTGGTAACTAGTGTAGTACAAGTACGGAGTACTGAAATGTACTCATTTCGGTAATTATGCAGCTGCACCTGTGGGTTATGAGAAATGCGGAGACACACCATGGACCAGTAAGTACAGATGCTCAACATTCCTCAGTGGGTTCACCACGATGACATTACATTAGCGCTAATTAAAAGCACCTTATTAAAATGGTGGTCTCTCCCAGGTCTACCAGCCGCCTTTAGACTGTGCATAGAAGCAGTGCATGCAAGGTTAGGAATCCTAAAGTACAGTATTCTTGCATTTGAGAAAAAGGCCATGTAGTAGAATAATTCAGATTGTTGTGTGGATTTTCCTCAGAGCTACTGCAATTAGCTCCATGGCTTGCCTCTGGTGGGCTTCGGGCAGCTTACGGCGGCCTGTTAATGACCAGTGACAGCCACACCGCCTGTTGCCCTGCTCTCTGGTTCACGCTGCTCTGTGGTGGACCTGCTGAGCCCTTCTCCTGCTGCAGCAGCATACCAATGCTGCATGCTCCAGCTCTGTCTCCTCCATAGCCCCCCCCCCCCCCGCTCAGAATAACAATGCGGTGAGCCTTATTAGCGACTTTGTTGAAGATGTAAAAAGTTGCTGAACTTGCTGCGTACACACAACACATCTAAGGGCCTTACAAACAGAGGGGCAGTGTTGTGCAGAAAGCAATCAAACACACTGCAGTCACTCGTGTGTGGTATTTGATCCATCAAATCAGCACATTAACTCTATCTGTTTCAAAACTCCCGAGCGGTGGTGACTTAGGCGGTGATATTTATTTGAGGATTACAGGGAATGAACTATTGATTTCTATAGGTGGCAGATTTTAGGTAAGCAATGCTGAGTTTTTTTTTTTTCTTTTTTCAAGCTTTGAGTACAAAGTTATAAAATATTGTTCCAGTAGAGACAGCACTTTAATGATATTCATCACCCAGAGGACCGCAGGCGCAGTTTCAACTCGTGCACAAATAACATTGATGTCAAGCTGTTTGCTCCGACTTAAAGCAGCTTTTCTCGGACTGAATGATACGGCGCCAGACAGTTGCTTTCCAAACCTTTCAGCTGTTGAGGGAGCCCCCTGCCATATTGCCATAAACGGTGAGCCTTCAGCCTGAGGTGACAGGGGAACCGGGACAGACATGAGGGAGTGTTTTTGCAGTAAAATGATTACAGAGATAAAGATGAAAGGTCCTGCTTCTGTCCCCTGACACCGCCAGATGATGGCGGGGAAGGCGGGGCATGATTTGTTCTCACCAAGGAAGCAAATGACACTATGTGGGCAACTCGTCGGCTCGTCGCAATTAGGAAAACTTGTACCTGTTGTCGGATTTCTGCTTCGATATTCCCCTCATGTCACTCCGTTCCGAGGCTTGCAAACACCACAGTGGGTTGTCCAGGAGTAGTTGTGGTTTACAAGAGCAAAGCAAGTAAAAGAAAGCACTCTCATGGAACCTTTAAATCATCCTTTGCTGCCTGTTTACCATCCATGGTAGAGAATATCAGTGAGCTACAGAGCAAACAAACTCTATGCTCTATAAGACAGGCGAGAGCTCAACTAGATACCTTTTTTTTTCTCCACTTGCCATATCAAATGCAAATAGCCCCTGAAAGCATGTAATCTTCCTCTCAAAAGTCAGTTCCATATGCAGAACACAAATGGAGCTCCATATGCGGATCATACGCACATAGAGTGTCGTTTACAATGCTTTGTTTGCATGCCTCAAGTATCTACACTATGCACATTGAGAGTGTTCAATGGAAAGGCTATAAGGATGGATGGCCCCCATTTGTGTTGATAGACTGAAGCACTGAGGCAGCATGGCGGAAACAGCATGATTCTTATCGTTCTAAGGTCGACTAGGCTGTGTAGCCTCTTTGGGAGACTTATCCAGCTTTGATTTAAAAAAAAAAATTTATAAATCAGAGACGGAACTAGCAGAATAACAGCATGGTCAAGATCTGAGCCAATGCCCTTGTTTAGTGTCATAGCATTGAACGCTGGCTGCTCTATCAGCACCGTGAACCTTATCTGACTCCTCTGAAATAATCTCACATCTTCTGCTTGGCTCAACAAGGGTCATCGAGCAACAGAGCCACAGAGGGGCTTCTTCTACAGAACATAACATCGAAGAAATGAGACGCAGGACAGACCTCAACAAAACGTGGCCTTTCTTTGGAAACAAATTCAGAGTCACAGACACATTCATAGCAGCTCGGCTGAACACATCTGGGTTCTCAAAGTAAGAGAGTTTGTCAAGTGGGAATGAAAAAGTTTTGATGCACATAATGCAGAACCAAATGAAGTTTTATTTTCACACTTTTTTGACCTTTTGTCTTTTGGGAAAGTGTTCATTTTTTGTACATCGTAAAGATGAAATAATACTACCCACATGGACGAGTATACTAGGGTCTAGGTGAGGTACTACCCACATGGACGAGTATACTAGGGTCTAGGTGAGGTACTACCCACATGGATGAGTATACTAGGGTCTAGGTGAGGTACTAGCCACATGGACGAGTATACTAGGGTCTAGGTGAGGTACATTTTCGTCACCAGAGGGTGTAGCAATCTCTGTCTGAATGTCTGCTTACCGACGAGTCCACACGGCAGACACGCAGAGTCCAGGAAGTATAAACAGAGCTATGCATCTGTGATGTCCGAAGCTTTCCATGTACTTGGACGTATAACCTAGGCTTGATACAGATGTGTTTGAAATGCTCCTCAGTTTCATTTAGAAGAAACATCTCATCATGCATTTATTTTTGTTGTTTTTTGTACCAAACTCACACCGAACCATGACTCCGAAATCAGAATATAACCGAACCGTGACTTCTGTGTAGCAATAAAGAAAATAGCTATTTTGTTTTAGGGGTTTAGTATTTTGTCCTGTCAGGTGTTTGCAATGCTGTTGTTGGACATTGGTTTTTTGTCATTTCAGCATTTCCTGTTCTGGAGAACAATCTTGTTCTGTTCAGCTGACGGGGTTGCATTGATTGTCCTGCAGCCTGTGCAGTCCTTGATCAGATGCGGCAGCAGATTTTTTTAACACCGTCCGGGCCAATCTCTTAGACCACTGGTCGCTGTGCATGGGCCTACTCAAAGAAAAACGTTCATCCGTGCAGTGATATACCCAAGCATCCATGGGAACTCCTGTTTCTCCGCCGTGACGTCAACATCCAACCTTTATATCTCCTACTTTAACATCTTTAGAGAAAAAAAGTCTCTATATCCAATCAGCCAGCCGTTTGCCTGGAAGACTTCATTCTGGGAGAGAATTTGAGGTTGGGGGGGGGGAGATCAAAGTACTAGGGAGCTTATGATCTCGGTCCTGGGAAATGCGGTGAGGCTGTAGGCTTGATAACACCCCGACTGAATGTGCTTACCCATCGTTCATCTACTGTATGAACGGATAGAGACATGGAGGAGCATTTTATGCATTCCACTCAAATGAAAAAAAGAATGACCCCTGCTGGTGGTTCCACATTGTCTGTGCCAGTGAGGGGGTCTGCAGCCGCTGTGCGCGTTCAGTTGGTCAACGTTAACAGCAACAGGATTCCATTGCTGCACATGAAGGCGATATAGCACTGCCCTTTTTCACTAATTGAATTATGTTTCTTTTTCAGCCAACGGTGAGTTTCCACCTGTGGTCGCCAGCTCAACCAGGTTGCCCTTCAGCTCTACGCCCCCGTCCATCGGAAACCCTTTGATGACCTTCCCCCCCACAGATTACTGTAAGTGTGAGCTTGATTACCACGGTTCATCCTCCACCCTCAAGGAGAACACTCTCCCCACTGACATTGTCTGTTTCTCCTGCTGTCTCTCTCTGTCGTCTTTTTGACACTCTCCTTCGCTCACACACACACACACACACAACATTAATGATTCACAATTGCTCTGCACGCGCTGATACGTGGGCTGCAACAAAGTAAGTGTGCCCCCTACTGGTCTGCACCACTCCCACCATCTGAGTGAGTGCTGCAGAGATCTCCTTTGGCATTAAATGGAGCAGGACGAGCAGTTTTGAAGTCTAAAATCCTCCAATTTGTCTCCAGAGAATGTCAATGGAGCCACTTACAAAGACTTGACATTCCCCACCTCGCAGTCTCTCTCTTCCCAGCTTCAAAAGGGTAAAGACAAGCAGAGATTCAATTTCTATATTTATAGTCATAAGTTAGAGTTACTCTCGTATCAAAAATGTTCTGAGACACATTTCCTCAGCTAGGAGCTTTGAAGTGCTCGAGGTACATAGTGTGACTGGACTTGGAGATATCAGCCACTACCATTTTAGTGTAACACTTTACATAGCACCCATTCATACGTTGAATGAATGTGAGTTTTTCTCATTTTCAGTGACTTTGAGGACTTGCTTTCCAGTCCAAACAGATGGTTTGACAGTGTCCCCACACTCCATGACTGTAATAGCATTCATCTATATCCTGTCTTCTCTTCCAGGCGGCATAAAAGGCTTTTATGACATTCATACGCTGTGAAAGCCCAACAAATCCATTTTGTAGGGTGCCGAAGCTTGCCTTCTACTCGAAACTGGTTAGAGGAATCACACTCACACTCCGGGCCTGAAAGAACCACTGCTTTGCGTTGTCAAGTTGCCCTTGAGCACACACACAGAAACCGCAGCCATTTACCATGAGCCAACAGTACAGGAGAAAAGAAGATATTGCTCTGTTGTCTATTTTTGTTATCCAAAGAACTTAATGCCGAGACGCAATGCCGAGAGAAACAATCTGGACCTCCCCAGCCTGCTCCTCATGTCTAATTGAGGCTCACTGCTACTATTAGCCGCCACTAGCAAACGAGTTGCATTGTAGGTAATGTAGGTGCCAGGTTTGACAAGGAAGAAGAATGTGTGGAATTAAAAATAAGCTTACATCTGCCTCTGCTGCATCCAGTTTCATCCAGTTTAGTTTTTTGTGTGATGCTAAATCAGTGTTGTGCTCCTTGAAGCCTGAACAGCCGACTGCCTGCACCGTTGATTAAACAGACAGCACTCTTTCTGCTGAACAGACACCGATAAGGTTTCCTGACACAGAGTAGGGCTGATGGTCCGCCGCGACAACGATGCTCAACGGCAGACCAATGCGGACCGATAGTCAAGTGTGTCCGGGCCCTAACATGTTTGTGCAGCGACTCGCCTGATTGAATGTCTGTGATGTGAGCCACTCTTTGGTCTCGCACACAACGACCTGTTTATCTGTCGAAGGGTCAAGCAGGAACAGTAAAAGATCAGACGTTAACGTTCGGCCAGCTGACATGATTTGATAACGTTACAGGATTATGCATTGAAGCGGAGCCACAGGCGTGACTCCGTCAGCAAACAATGGCTTCTCAGTCTATCAAGAAAAGCTTTTATGCTGAGCCGGGGGTATGGCAATTCTGGAAACATATCATATGCACTACTATATATGAAATACCTTTTATACAGTGATAAACCTTTCATATACTAGGGGAGTTTGCTACCAGGATCAAGCTGCAAGGGCAGCAGCAGAAAGGCTATTTGAATGTGCTTACACAGGTAATACTCGGTATGGTTACAATAGAGCCTGCAGAGAGATGGGACTGTGAGATCACACTGTGATTATCATAGATATTAACTCGGGAGGGGGAAGTTGAACGTGCAGTTATACATTGGCCATTTCAAAGACAGCCGTGAGCGTTTAACATTCGCCGCGCGTCTCACTTCAACCTTTCCGGAGCTGCTTTGACATCTGCGTGGCAGGATGGCAAAGCCTGATGGGGGAGGGGGGGTTGGCTCAGCAGACCTGTCACTCCAACAAGGCTCCTCCTCTTCCCCCGACACGCTCAATGATCAACCCCACCAAAATGTCCCCTCCTCTCCCTCTCCCCTTAATCTTTCCTTCTGGGCCTCTGCACTTTTTGTTTCCTATCTTCTCCGTTTAAACGCTGCCGCTGACTGTCTGTTAGTTCACATTACTGCCCTCCCACCTCTGACTGTCACTCTTCTTTTTTTTCACCCACCTCATCCTGCTGCTTTTTTTTTTTCTTCTCCTTCACCCTGACTTCACCTTCATTTCGTTTAATATTATTTTCCCCTCATCTCCATTGATTCCCCGCTATTCTGGCATCTTTCATTTCTCACCAATGCCCTACTGTGTGGCACCCGCCTCTCACTGCTGACTCATCATTTGCTCTCAGGAAGAGGGGAGAGTGAAAGAAGTCAACCGAGATGAGCTTGCTTCCCTTTATATTTGTGATTACCTCACCTGATGGGAAAGGAATGCGTCGCTAACCTCAAAATGAGCTCCAGGCTCATTTTTCTCTCGGCCATTTAATGTATGAGAGTGTGTGTGTGTGTGTGTGTGTGTGTGTGCGTGTGTGCGTGTGCGTCTGTGGGTGTGCGATTCACAAAGATTAGTGTTTTCACGTTCTTATGAGACGATACAAGAACTTTACACAATACGCTGTCAGGATGCAACAAAGCATCATCATATTTACACCTCATCTGCAGAACGCGTAGCAGGATGTACGAGCATTAGCGTTCTTTGAACAGACAGAACATTTTGATATCAAGGTGTTCCACTTCCACTCACACAACAACGGGCGACGACAACAACAAACAACAAGAGTAGATGAAAACTGGCGCTGAATCAAAGACAGAAGGGATGGTGATTGAAGCAATCCAATTGGCTCTTGAAAGTAACCGACAGCAGATGTTGCTCCGTGCACGTTCCATGCAGAAGAAGTAGTTTTGGCCCGTACGTGCTCGCTAATTAGCGGCAGAGTGGAGATGCGTGCCTGTGCTCCGTTCCGTACTCGTTGGTAAACACTGGCCTGTGGCAGTCAGTGAGCTCGGTGTTGTTACTTTGGGTTTTGGAGGGGGAACATTCGTCACTAAGACAGATATGAGACAGATAACGAGCAGTGCCGCGCAAAACAGGCTTTTGTAATTAATTGGACTCGGGTGCCTCATAAGCTATGTATTTAGCATTCAGATCCACTCACGGCACGCCAGCCTTGATCTGTCTTTCTAATGGCCGGACCAAGGAGGACAACTGTCACTGGATAACGAGGATACATGCTAAGAGAGGAAAGTGGCGCAGAATGAGAAGTCAACGTATAATGCATCCAGAAGACATGTAACATCATGCAAAAACGAATTATCATGTGTATTATGGTGCTTTCATGGCAGTAATTTAAGCATACAACTCTAGATTTCAAAACAACAAGCACATAGATGTAGAAAGAGAGTTTGTTATCTTGTATTGTTGAGCATTGAGACTAAATCAGGGTCTGATTATCAGATTGAATGGCCTTTTCATATCCTGTTTGTGTGGCGGGGTTATTTTGCCCCAACTGATCGGCTGTGACTGACATTTCAATCAGGAGAGACAAGCGAACGAAGAAAAGATAATTGTTTGTTGTAAACAGATGATGTGTGATGATAAAGTCTCGACAGAGACTCGTTTGGCCCTCAGACTCCTCAGGGAGATTTGTAACCGCAGCCCGTCTGCGGTGGTTGATGATTCTGCTGAGACTGGTTGGCTGATGAGGAGAATGTATCTGCGATGGGGAGGTGGAGGGGCGCGTGTAGCAGCAGCATGAACGTACTGAAGGCAGAGAGAGAATCTTATTTTAAGGAGACAGAAGCAAGATGATAGGCTAACAATGTCGGTGTATCGCGGTGCCATTGGATGGATGTGAGCAGCTGATCACACAATTGACAGCAAGGAGATCGTGAGGGATCATGAGTAGAGTGAGAGGATGGCATGAAGCATGCAAAAGTATGACCTCACAAGTTGAATTTTTTGCTAGAACCTAATTTGCCATGTTGAAGAGTTATTTAGATTATGATGAACCAACATTTAGCTTAAAGGAATGATACCAAACGTTAACGTTATTTTCACTGGTGTACCTGCAGGAAGATCACGTCCTCAAGCTCAGCTAGGCGTTCACATCAAAAACGGTTTTCACAAACAGGGCTGCGTAGGTGGGGGGGCATGCTGCTGCAGGCACCACTGAGATAATGAAATACGATCCAGAGAGTCCAGCTTAAGCAATAGAGTCGAACCCTGAGTTCAGACACCAGGACTCCTTACAGCAGGTTATAATGCTCTGGGGACAGGATTTTACAACTCCCGGAAGTTATTAAAGCGGCCGATGGATTTCCGTTGTTTTCGTTGCAGTAAAGGTTCAGCCTGGTTCAGCTGTGCTTGATGGACGACTCGGTGTTGTTTTGCCTGAGCCCCATGCGTTGGCAGCCCTGCTGTGTTGACCGACCGGCTCTGTTAAATGAATGGAAGGACTGTGTTGTTTTATTTTGCAGGGCTACTGTAGGTCTGAACGTAGGCTTTGTGCAGCCTAACTGGGGAAAGAACTGATCTGGCTTACCCAATCATGGCTGAAGTGAAAATAAGCAAAACATAAAAGAATGTTTGCCTCAGAACTGCAATCAAACAGCAGTTTGACGCAACACGCCTTCTCGTACCGAGATGATCATTTTTCACGAAACTGAAAGTCTCATTCCGGCAATTTAAAAACAATTCCGAGGCCTAACATGGGTGATGAAACGCTTGTTTACTTGTTACTGATCGGCCCAAGGACTGCCTTTGTCATTCCTAGAGAATGACATGTTTACTGTTGCCTTGTGTTAATAATGTTCTGGGGAGATAAAGACTGCTGGAACGTTGCTGTCAGTTTTGTAATCCAATCAAGAGACGTTTTTCTTGTTCTACACTGAGTCTCTCCCTTTCTGTCTCTCAATTTCTCACCGATGACAGTTCACAGCGTCGCCCCTTTTTTATGGAGGCCAGTGTTTGTTATGATGATGGTGCACCACCGCCGGCAAAGACCACAGTAACGGAGATTCATATAATAGTCAGACACAGTCAGAGTCTCCCCAGGGATGTTTGTGTGTGTGTGTGTGTGTGTGTGTGTGTGTGTGTGTGTGTGCGTTCGTGTGTTACAGGTCAGAGGGGCTGGCTAGTGTGCAAATCACTTATTAGAGAAGACTATCATCTTAATACCTTAGTCTTAATAGTCTTAATACCTTAAGACTTAATGCTATCTTCGACACCGGCGGCGCTGTTGTCAAGAAGTCAAGCTCACCTTACATAACAGGATCTTATTCATGTCAGGAAGCCAAGAACTCACTTCTACAAATCAGAAAAAACTAAATGAATATACAACATCCAGACTCTAATCCGACATTCACTCCTTTCTCTTCAGCATGTCCCACCTTGACTGATTGCCATCTCAGAGTATCCCATTACATAGAGTAAGATTCACATCTAAAGCATCATTTGGCTTTGGAGGCTTTTCTGCTCCAGTGATGGATTTATTCCCAACAGACTCAACTCTTTTTACCACGTTAGGTATTGAAAATACTGATGTGAGGGATCAATTTACTTTTGCTGGATGGGAGCCATGCTCCAGTACACCCCACAATGTTTTTTTGTTTTTTATACAGGTGGAGTGCATTTGCTAAGACCAGGCTGAACTCCAAATTGTGCTCGTACCATTGTGATATTTTAAAGTGTTTTCGAAAGGCTGCTTAAAATTGCCTCTTGACACAACAGGTTCTCTCTCCCAACTCATACTAAACTAACCAAAGGTTAACGTGACTACCAGTCACTCACTAGTCATGTGACTCATGTGTCACTAACTAGTCATGCGAGTCAGATTAACGTCAACCATGCTCTTTTCCTAAAACTAACTAACTAAGGGGTTTTGTTGCCTAAGCCTAACTTCCTGTGAAGACAGATGAAACTGACACGCGATCCAAAACTAAAGCTAGAGGCTTTATTATGAATCCCACTCCCTTTCTTGGCAGGACCCGCCCTGTGTCGACTTCAAGCGCTAGGATTAGCCAGGCATCCATGTTCACCGAGGTATCAGTGACCTGATTTGTTCAAGTACTTCGCCCTGACCGGGCGAAAACCTCCTGTAGTGACCGTTGCTTCCCAAAAAAAGTCACCACGGTTGCTGAAATGTTTGTTCTGACGCGTGCCATAAATAACGAAGTCCAGTTTCCAATATAGGCATTTTATTTCTCACATAAACAGAGGCCAACCACTTTCTCTGTCGTTATCCATTTTCTCTACATATACCAATAAATCACAACATTTACATTCATTAAATGTGCACGGTCAAAAACTCTTTATAATACCTGTGCCATGATTCACACCGGCACTATGCCCCCAAGTGGTGGGAGCTTGTACAAAAACAAAACAACAACAAAATGGCTCTTACGCCTCCCATTCTGAAAAGTAAAGCCAATGTGGAACTTGCATTCTCTCTACTGGCCAGCAGGGGGCGACTCCTCTGGTTGCAAAAAGTATTCCGATGGTATGGAAGTTTTTGACAAAATTACTCTAGTTCTCACTTGATTTGTTACCTCAGTAAATATTGTAAACACAAGTATATGGTCTCAATTGCTAGTTTCAAGTCTTCAATACGGCATGATGACCATTTTGTAAATTGGTGTTCCATTTAGAGTCAAATAGAAGCAGGGCATGCTTTAGGGCGTGGCTACCTTGTGATTGACAGCCCGCGACCAGAGCGGTAAACAGCATCTCTACCACAGCGTCACTCCTCCGCAGTCCAAATATGGTCATTGGTAAAAATGCCGAACTCAAGACTTCAAAACCGCAGTCCACAAACCAACCAATGGGTGACGTTAGACAACTACGTCCAATGGGATTCATTCGGTTTTGATGAGTTGGGAGCGGGAATGTGTTTGGAGACGGAGGTTTGGACCCAACCAATCGTGAGGACAAATAGAATGCTCAAAATGCAGCCCACCCAGGTTTCGGGTGTGGGCGACTGTTGCGAAGTGGAGAGCAGGGCCGTCCTTTAATCAGCGGTTCGATCCCCGGCTCCGGCTCCACTAGTCGCATGTCGATGTGTCCTTGAGCAAGACACTTAACACTTAGATTCCTCCCGTAGCTGTGCCTACGGTGTAGAATTGTGATAGAATCTGAATTGTAAGTAGCTTTGGATAAAAGCGTCTGCTAAATGACTGTAATGTAATGAAATGTAATGTTTGAACATTATGCTATGTCATCATATAACAGCCACCTGGGATGACTGCTTTTTCTTGGCTTTAAAATGATTACATCCGAAAAACTCATTACTACTTTTCTCGTGAAAGCACAATTTCTCTCTGTAACTCAACTGTTTATAATTAATGAGAAAATGGGGTATAACAAAATGTTGTTATTCTAAGGTACACACAGGCCTTAGAACAACTAATTACACACACACACTTGTGTAGCAAAAAATAGCAGCTTCCTGCCGTCATTTTCCTCAGTCAGAGAAAGCGGACTTTGGTGAGAAATCCTTGTAAATACTGGGATCCCAATTCCTGGGCTTCAACTCTAATAGGCGCTACACAGCAGGCAGCTTGAACAGGGAAAGGTGTTGCAGTGAGAGCATCATAACTTTAAGTTGCACTCCTGAGACTAATCTCACACCATCTCTTCTCTTTGCTGTGTATCCTGATCCTGTCTTCATTTTATCAGTTTACTACTGCATCTGTGAAATATAAATAAACAGCAAGGCCGTTCTGTATTGTATCCAATCACAAACAATATATGAGAGAGAGAGCGAGAGAGAGAGAGAGAGCGAGAGAGAGAGAGAGCGCGAGAGAGAGAGAGAGAGAGAGAGGTGCTTCATGGCCGGGTGTCTTCTCCACAGCTCTGTGCTCGCAAGCCTTAAATCAGGATTTCTGCAGCGTTAAGTCCGTCCACGTCCATCTGACAAGACTAATCTTGTGCTAATTACAGTGAAAAGAACTCCAATTAGCACCGACGCCTGGGATTACACGGAAAATGAGGAGAAATGTTCGTCACCTGTGATCCTGTCACCGCGTCCCCACGCTGCTGTCGTGAATGTGATAGCTCATATGAGCAGCTTCCAGTACGGAGCTGGCCTTCCCAACGTGCCATGCCTTTCTTTGATGTGGAAAAGTGGCGCGGTGGGGAATGTTGAAATGGAATGAATGTGGGACAAATAGAACAGCAATGACTCTCTGTCATCTTTAAGTCTGCTTATGTACATTTGTGACTGAATGCAGAACACATGCTTTTACAGCTGTGTGCTCTACGAGCTGCTTCATTTCTTTAACTTTGTCTTTTCTATTTTTATCCTCATGTGCAGCCCAAAAATGGATTCTTCATACCTGCGGGGCTGTGGGCCCTGAAGGCCCGACTCCCAGCCAGTGCCTCAACTCCTACAGGAACAGCAACGTCAACGTGACTCTAGGCACCCGAGGGCCCTTCAAAGGCATTCAAATGTGGCGGGTCCCCGAAACTGCCACCTACAGGTAGGGCTTTACAGCATCGGAGCGTCCCTATCAGATTCTTGCAGGAGGGAGCAGAAGCTGAAGTAATGTCAGCTAAATAGCATGATTCACTCCACACCTGATTCCAAAAATGAAATAAAAACACCCACCCCCACATCCACGTTGGTGGACTTTGAGGCTTCCAAATACCTTAACAAGCAGCCCTAGCACCTTGACCTCAAACTGTGTACTGCTCTAGGAGTAACGCTGTAATATCCACTACCTTGTGCAGAGATTAATACGCCTTCATGACAACGGGAGGCGTTTAACTTGGATTTGACTAGGATGGTTCAAACAAAAAATAAAGCTTCAAGCCTCCCACATCAACTCAAAAAACCAAACACAGACACCGCTAAGCTCAGCCAGAACTCTTGAGTCTTAAAATACCAAACTAACAACTGCGTGGACAGCACCGTTTTAACACATACCCGGAGTTTTAGAAAAACACCTTCTGTCTCCGCATACAACTCCAGAATCGTGGTCCTGATGCAGCCCGGTTTAGCTGGCGGAGCCTGTAAATGAAGCTGACAGACGGTCACAGAGATGAATATGCGCTCTGCATCTCCCAAAAGTCATTAGGCAAACAGCTGAGGTAGCAACTGAACACCGGGCAGCGTGCTGTCTATCTCTCCCTCTCCCCACCACGTACGACCATCGGGGAAGTGAAATATCGAAGAGCTACCAAAAACCAATCAAGTTTTTTGTTGTTGTTTGTTTCTTGGCAAGAAAAGTGGAGCATTTGAAATGAGTGTCTTGTGCAGCGAAGGTGTGTGTATCTGTATGTCTGTCTGTCTGTGTTTGTGTGCCCGTGCACTTTGTAGTCTGTGCACTGTTTTTGTATGTGCACAATTGGACAAAAAAATTTGACAGTTTTTTTGTCCAATTGTTTTGTATTAAAAAACAGCCAGCAGGGAGAAAAGTGAGTTTTAGTGCTTCCAAATGAATGTTGGCTATTTAATTTTGTGCACTCATGAAATAGCAGGTGGACTACATGATACACACCTACTGTACAGATTGGACTATACAATACACACATCACCTTTTCCCATTAAACCCGACAAAACCAAACGGAAACACTGAATGAAAACAAATGTATTTTCTGTATCTTTAGGGTAATTCTCCTGCTAATGAGCTGTTTAATATGTGTGTCATTTGTTCCGGTTACACCTCAGGATCACAGCCTACGGTGCAGCTGGGGGTCGAAGCGTGTTGGCCATGAGCAGGTCACATGGTGTCTACATCACAGGGGACTTCCTGCTCAGGAAGGGCGAGCTGCTTTACGTCCTGGTGGGACAGCAAGGAGAGAACGCATGCCCTAATGTAAGTCTATCCTGCAGTACTATAATGCAGACAGTAGGTGTTGAGCAGCATGTGAGAACATGCAGTTTACAGTATGTCATGAAAGCAAAAGATAGGGCAGGAATTATCATACGGATTCAATTTGTTGATCTTCTTTGAAATAGCTGTGAACGCTTCAATGACCCAACTGAATTGGGAGTCAAACGTATTTCTCTGTTTTGTATTTGTTGTCTCAAAATAATGTAAATGTGGGAAGTTGTTATAAACTGAACTGTCCGCACCGTAGTGAAACTCAACATTCTTTGACGTTGTCTAACTTTCAGACCAACCAAAATTGAATCGCACCTTCTTGTTGTCGGAAATGTTTCATAGTTTCATAGTTAATAGTTTTTTTCTCTTAATAAAAGGAAGAAAAAAGGTCTTTGGGGAAATATGCGAAATGATCTCATTTGTCTCAGCCGTCTGGAGGGGCGTGTACCTGTCTGTGTTTGATTGACAGCAGCTTGCAGTGCTGCCAGAGTGCTGGTGAGGAACAAACTGGTGCTGCCGCTTACATGTCATGTGCAGACAGCAGCGGCGGGCCGTGCATTTTATACCTGGGCCTGCACTCGTAAATGAAGCTCAACACCTACAAATACACTATGAGTGCAGATACATGAATACCGGCATGACGGGATGCGGCGGCATTAACGAACAATGAGTCAAAATCAATTCAGCTAAAACATGCATTCCGCCACACACTCAAGAGCACGGGCCATTCAAATATTATTCATATCAGAGGGAACAATATTACCCATATCATGAAAACGACACGATAGACAAATTAACAGAGTAGTAACTCTCCTATCACTCCCTCCAGGAAATACACGACTCCATAGTTCTTGTTACTGACGGATTTATTTGTCTGTCAACACCGAGAGGGAAAACGAGTCCACTGGAAAACACATGAATCTTCAAAGTAGATCACTTAAAAACTTAAACTTAACTTTAACACTTTGCACGGAGTATATAGACCGCTGCCGCTTCGCGCGTCGTCTTGTTGCTGTGCACCGGCTAAATGTGTCCCCCGCGCAACATAGGACGTAACAATAGTTCCTATCACATATAAAACCAAACGAAAATCCATATAAGTTGTATAAATAATAATATATAATATAAGCAAGCATATTAAATGATGACATAGATCATATTTATGGCAGTTAAAGCTACTGCAGTTAACTTACCAGAGCTGCTGTTCACTATTTAGCTGTTCTTCCTCCTTTCTTTGTTAACAAAGAGTTTAATCCCACGGTTGTTCAGTACATCCGTGCGTTTTTAGTTCCAGTCAGAAGTCCTTCTCGATTCATGGACGCCAGTGAAGACAGTCGAGTCTCCCCAGTTGTATTTCTTGAATAGGTTTAAATGCGTTTGAGGCTGAAAATGTCCGCTCGGCAGAGGCAGCAGATATTGGGATTGTCACCGATTGTCACATGTCACACTAGCCCACTGACCAATCACGTATGGCTAAGCCAGCTAGCAGGCTCTGGCACGTCAAAGAATACGCCCAACATGTCAAACTAAAGATCTGATTGGTTGAACACTATGACAATCAACAATATCGTCCCCATTCACTTAAACTGCAAAGGGATGCACTTGTGAGTGTGCAGGCCTCGGGCCTCTCTTCTTACCTAGAGACACAGAGGTGAAATCTGATTGGATAAAAGCTCTACTTAAAACAAGCTGCACTGGAAGCAGAGCAACTGAGGAAGACAGTAGCTGTGCAATGAGAAAATAAGATAATGGGAAAAATATTTTTATAAATTATAATACATGTAGTGTATTTAAGAAAAATTATTAAATTATAAAATAGATATAACTGTGATTCTGTTTTGGCCAGCAGAGAAGGTCTTGCAGGCCCTGACGGCCCACCACTGTTGTAAAGACAACCAGTGTTGATCTGATATAATAGTAGTAAGCGTGACATTCATTTTAGAATGGCCACCACAAGAAAAGCTGTTCTTTGTTTAGATTATGAAATGGACATGGAATCATAGATGTCTGCATCAAGCTGATAGTGTTAGCATTAGCTAGCATTGTTAAGATTATTAAACGGACAATTCATATTTTCGAGCAGCCTGGCTTCTTTGTAGCCGCTGGTTCGTTTTCAGGCTGCAAGC